TGGGAAGTAATAATTATTTGCAAGTAATATTTTAAAATATGCACACGTGCACTTTTATTTGCATGCCTAAAATGTCGAAAATGCAAAAATAGTTCTAGTCACTGGTCAACACGGCAAAATCTGCATGTGGAAATCTTTTACTCTCAGGCGAAATGACTGAGTTTCACCGGCGAATCGCCGTGACTGCAAAGGCTACATCCTCATAGTAAAGAAAATTAAAGGCATTAAAACTAACTTTTTTTCTCTCAGTTAATGAGAATGTAGACAGGAAGTAGAACGAATTATTATTTCGTGCGCACGATTGACTTTTTTCCCCTTTATGTCATGTGCGGTACTCCATATTTTCTGTGTAATGGTAATCTTTTTTTTTTTCTTTCTGAAACTGAGAATTTTAACATTTACAGTATGACCCCATTCATGTTTATTGTAAGTGCATCACTGTAACCCAAGTCTACATACATTTTTGAAGTGAACATCATGCCACAAGTGCCAGTGGAGCTTAACTGCATTGAACCTGAATTAAGGAATATTCATTTAATTCCATCCACCTAATAGTTTTTCTCCAGCTATTCTCAAACATTTATCCTCTTACCGCTCTTTTCATATAGTTCGACCTGGGGCCAGCTGCATAAGCTGCTTAGAATGTAGTAATATTAGAAGTCAGTCATTTATTTTTTTAAAGACTAGTCATTACTTTTTTTTTAAGTCAGCGCATAAAAAATAGATTGGTCAAATTTGATAATTTTGGTCAGACTAGTTCTTAAAGGGGTCATATGATGCTGCTAAAAATAACATTATTTGGTGTATTTGGTGTAATGAAATGTGTTTATACGGTTTAAGGTTAAAAAACACATTATTTTCCACATACTGTACATTATTGTTTCTCCTCTATGCCCCGCCTTTCTGAAACGTGTCGATTTTTACAAATCTCATTGGTCTGAAAAGCGAGGTGTGCTGTGATTGGCCAACTATCCAGTGCGTTGTGATTGGCCGAATACCTCAAGCGTGTGACGGAAATGTTACGCCCCTCACCATACTGTGATGCAGTGTCCCGGCCGGAGCAACGATTCAAAAACATTAAAACCCATTACAAACGAAGCGGTCCTTTTTTGGAAGACCAAACAAAGTAGTTTCGCTTTCACAACGAAACACACAGCGGGCTTGAGTGAGCAGCGGCCGGAGGGTTAGAGTGAGCAGTGGCGGGCGGGCTTCAGAACGGAGCGGCCGGCGGGTTTGCAGTTTAACTTTTATAAAGAATATTTCTTTGGATTTGAGACTTTAGTCTTTGCAACTTTACAGATCTTCTTTATGCAGCAAGAGCTTGTAACACTCCAAAGAGAAAGGAAAAATTGAAATCGCATCATATGACCCCTTTAAGATACTGTCTTAATGGCTGTGTTGATGAAACGGTCTCCTGTTCTCTTGTCAAGATTTACCCCCTGCTCTTCTCCATAGCACATTTGTAGTCTTCACCCACTGCTAATTCCCTGCACCTCTGTCTCTCTTCCTGTATCTGTGTGTGTCAGATAGTGCTGACTCTGGCTGTTCTGCGTACAGTGAGACTCAGATGAACAGTGCATTAGACTCACATGAATGTGACTCGATAAGAAGTCAAGATGGATGTTGAAGAATCAGGCAAATCAAACCCTCTAAGAATCACACCACATGGGTGTAATTAACTCCAGGAAGTTGTGTGACCGGAAAAGCCATAAAGATACAACCTGATCTGAAGAACGAGGCTGAGGTGGGGAAAGGCCAGGTTTGATTTATGGATATGACACGTGTGGTTGTGAGTGCGTTTGCATGCCTATGGAAATACTGGAAAAAAAGCAAGTACATGAATGCAATGCTCCACACTGCGTTTATATAAAGTGGGCCCACAATAAAGAACTTATGATGGTGACTAAATAATTACACACAAGTTAATGCACAGCAGGAGGGAGAAGGAAGTGAGACACAAAGTAAGAGGGTGACAGAATGATCAGGTTGATTCACAACCCATTACATGAACACAAACAGCTGTATCACGCAAACACATTGCAATGATTTTTCATACATATGTTTTATTTCAGCCATCATCGCTCCAGCCTTAGAATCATCTTCTTGTCATTCACATAATCATCCTCCTAAAAGTTTTTATTTTTATTTTTCAGCTGAAATGTTCTCTCGTCCTGACTGCATTTCATTTTTTTCTTGCTCTAAGTCTCAGCTTAATCTGAACATATAAAAAAGTAAACCTTTTCAAAGAAAACTAAAAAAAAAGCAAACAAACAAACAAAAATATATCCAGAAACTGTAATACCATCTCAAAGAGGATATACAATATTAACAACATTAATCATCAATGCTTTGATGATATTGAACAGGTTGCTAGGTCAACATGTTTGTCATTAGTAGTGTTAGTATCAAGTTCATTGTCAGTTTTTTTGTGTTGAGCATCACTTATTAAATTATCATTGCATCAAGTTGACATCATCCATGTTAATATAAGCATGCAAACACATTTCCTCAGGATCATTCAGAATTGCACTGACATAGAGAGACAGAGGAAAGAGGGGAGACAAACAGAGAGAAAAATATGGCCTGGGGTGACCCAAAGAGAAAGCTATCGTATGCTTGTATTTTGTGGAAACTGATGAAGGGGTCAGAGGTCACTCTACAGGGATTGTGCCTCCACTGTGTAAGATCTAAGGCAGCAGAAGAGATGGGCCTGGAGACAGGAGCTGAAGACTGCGGATCGATACCACATCCACGTGTATGACAGAATTAATGGCCTCTTAGAAAACAACAAGAGCTGATATACGATAACAGACTAAGGACTGAGCACACACCAGCGAGAGTGTGTGTGCGCGCGTGCATCCAAGGCCTGGCATGGGATTAATAATGGAAACAGAAAATATGAGCTTGGGGGTACAGTGGGAAATAATTATACTGATGTATATTTCAATAACATGAGTGATAGTGATTGGTAATGCAGTATTCCTCCATTGAGGGATATGTGCGGTAGCATTGGCAGTGGTTGAACTGCGATATTAAAGAGATAATCCATCTAAAATTGAAAATTATGCCATCATTTATGCACCGTCATGTCATTTCAAACCTGCAGGACTGTCTTTCTTTCACAAACGATGATATTTTGAAGAATGCTTCAAATGATAGCCAACGGTGTCCAAAAACAATATTGCACCCCATTGTATTTTGAAAAGAAAAATAGATTTTGTGTTCCACAGATGAAAGTCATACAGGTTTGAAATGGCATGAAGGTGAGTAAATGACAGATTTTTAATTTCTGGGTGAATTATCCTTTTAATAGAGGCAGTGACCCTGGATATCAAGGGTATGTGAATTGAGTGCTTTAACAACTATAATATTTCTGACTATGCAGTGACCTTTCTGAACATATACAAAAAAAATCTGAAGTCAGTTTGTAATGTAAAATTATATAAGTAATCTTGTGGCCCTAAAACAATAAAAGACATGACCCCCTCTTTGTCTCTGTTTGCAAGGAATGCTCAGACAGAAAAGATAGTCACATTAGCCAAAAGAGATGAAGAGAACCAGTTTGTCTCCCGCCCCCCTTTTCTTTTAAAGACAATGGAAAAACTTCCAACATTTTATTCCTCAAAAGCTGTGGCCACCAGGTTTGTCCCCTCGTACACACAGAGCACATTTACAAAAAAAGAAAAGCACACCCAACACGAGAACACAGATCAGGCTAGGGACACGTTTCAGTGACGAGCTGGTTAGGGACACAACAGAGACAGGTCACTACCACATTCGACAGAGAACAACCGAAACGCGCATCTGAGAAATAGACCCTGTCCCTACCAAGTGCAACAGGTCCTACACAAGAAATAGTTCCTCTAAGACACAGGACAGAAGACATTTGATTGTTCAAAATGAGATTTTCTCTGTGCAGGACAAAGGACGGGAAGTGGAGACGTAAACAGGGTCACGGTGACATATACTGACAGAGGCATACACGCGCACTCACAAACCGACGAGCAAACGCGTATCGACACAAAAGAGCACTCCTACAAACACATAGCATACACGGGAGGAAAAAGAGGATGAACACGTGTGTCTTTCCAAAGCGGTCCTCTTGGCAGAAGGATGATGGAGAGCATACACTTCCTCTTTTGAAATTAAAAATGTCTTAAGAGAAAAAAACATCCTGGCATGGTATAAAAATAAAATACTATGGCCAGATCTTTTCCCAGTAGGATATGTTTCCAGGAAGTGCACACAAATCCAAGGTCCTTCCCAGTTAGGGTCCTCTGGCAATGTTTGAAATCAATGATAGCTCCCTTTGGAAGAGTTCTCAATGGGATTCAGTTTGCCAGTGTGTCCATGTCAGGGAAACATATTCTCCAATCATTTCATTCAGTATCTGGTAGAACAAGAAGAATGGTTGGACTCTAGTAAACAAACGAAAAAAGGAAACACTGCTGATCTCAGTGAGCTCCAAGCAGAAGGTGATAAAAATGTAAAAGGCAGAGGGACACATTTCAATACTGCACGACACGATTTGGCCAATGTATCCGTCCTTATTTCTCCTTCTCCAGATGGGAACGGTCATAAAGTAGTCCTCCTCTCCAGAGAAACAGGAAACAGTTTCAAGGATTCTGCATTGGCAGAGAAGACCCACTCTGAGAACTTTTCAGCTATTTGTCTGACTGAAAACACCTTGTAGAGATTTTCTATAGCTTCACACAGACACCCGTACAAACTCACGTACACACATGCGCTCACACATACACAGAAACATTCGTGGTCCATAATCAATCAGGTCTCTCCTGATTATTATTATTTTTTTTAAAGTGATTAAAATCTCATTTTTTTGTAGGCTCAGTTTCAAATACCTAAATAAAGATTATCTATTTAAAGTGGGAATGTTTTTTTCATATTTCCCCTGAATAAATCATGACATATTTTGACTTTAACATCATTCCTGAAGCAAAACCATCCATGCCAGTTATTTTGTTACGATTCCATGTGTATGTCTGTTTGTCTGGTCTAGTCTAGTTATTTTTCTATATATTGTGTTGGGTCTGCAGGGTTGATTTAGAGGAATAGCACTAACACAAGCACAGTCTCTTCTCTGGTTCTTTCTTGATAAATTATTATTCAGATGAAAAGAAAGAATGTATTTCTGTTGCTAAAAAGATAATGCTGACCTGAGGATGAGAAAAAGAAACAGAGAGACAGAAAAAAAACACAGTTATCCATATAAACACAAACAGTAAGTTACATAAACACAAAGATCTTCAGTGAACAGATGGCTGCATTCATAGTGTATGGGATTGACAACTGCATTTACTATCAGATGCGACTGTTAAATAGCTTAGAAAAGCAGCTTGAATGGCGTCATATGAACAATTTTGTTTAGAAAGTCAGGAACGAATATCAAAGACAGTGCCTTTTTAAATGCCAGAAAGCACCACAATTAACATGATAAAAACGAGTGATAAAAAATAAGTTATTAAATGAATCCAACTGAGGAGCAAGTTGATGTGTCAAATGTTAATTAACCAATAGTGGCTTCAAATGCTGTTTTAATATTTTTTTTTTAGACAGCAGATTTTGTGTTGCACTCAGACCACGAAACAAGCTCATATCTTCGCCTCGTCTTCATCTGTAAGTAACCAGAACCCCACATAACCAGTTCTCCAGTGCGGTTCTATATACATATTAACCACTCTCGCTCTCAAAATTTGGCTTTGAGTCCTGAAAATTTTGGTTATAGAATGCAGTTGTTAATAACAAAACTGTGAGAATGTAACCATATTTAGCACTCTAAAACAGGATTAACAGCCATATCCTGCTGCTGTGTAAACGCAGCCATTGATGTTTTTATCAATGTGTTAGTTCATGACTGAAACCTAAAGTACTTCAGTGTAACACACTGATGCATTCACCCACACAGACCCAGTATGTGAGGAAGTGCCCTTCTATTTACAGCATGTGTTTATGTTCATGTGTGTGTACTCACATCTCTACTCAGAGTGAGGGCTGTCCACCACTATGTGTGGTTTAGGGGAGGCTGTGACACTCTTTGACACGTATGTGTTTATGGATTTCTCCTGTGAAGGTAAACATCAATGAACATACATGATTATTCAGAAGGTGATTTCGTACATATAATAAATTATCAAAAAAATTAATGATTTATTATATTGTATCTTTTCAGTATTAACTATAACCACAGATATAATCAGGGCTGCGTAGTAATTGATTACATGTAATCTGGATTACATAATCAGATTCCAAAAAATGAGTATTATATTACATTTTAAAATGCTCAGATTACAGTTACTTTTTCATGGATTGCATGATTACATATTATTCATAAAATGGCACAAAATTATAGATTTTCCTTAATTATTATTTTTTCTCTTTTAAAGTTCCCTTGTCAAAAATCTTACTGTGTGTTTTGTAGTTTTTCTTGTAGTTTTTCAAGGCAAAAAAAAGGGTTTGTGCTGGTGCAAGCTATTAGTTAATATGGCTATATCTCCTTCTCACATACAAAAAAAAAAAAAAATCGACTCAAAATTTCATGTTCATTTATTTATTTATTTATTAGGTAAGTAGCCATGTAATAGGGAAGATTATGTGCAATCAGTCGCAAAATAACCGCTTCAGAGGTCCTGATCCTGCTGTTGAGATTTAATGTGTAATACATTAGCCCTTACATAAAACTCTTATTTTATATAACCACAAGAAAGATAAGTGTTATACTAATTAAGATTAGAAGGTTTATTATAGGACATTATAAATGTATTATCGTGCATTACGAATACCTTTATTTTAATGCTTTATATATACAGGCTTCAAGGAAAGAGTTAACAAAGGTTTTCTTTTTCGATTTAGGTTTTCTTTCTTTCTAGATTTTCTCTTAGTCTTTTTTTAACAAAATTTTAGTAGCCGATACCAATACCAGTGAAAATCTGGTTTCACAATTTCAATACCACAGCAATATTCAAAGTTTTATTGAAATTTTTCAATACTGCATTAACAAATTAAATGAAAACAAAAGAATGTAGTTTTAAGTATTTTTCAATTAATGAAGCATTGATGTGAATTATTCAGTCAGCGAGTAAGTGGTCTGCTCTTTTTCGTGCCAATGTTTTCTGATTAATGCTGTCAACATAATAGACAGCAGCAACTGTATTAGACTGTATTCACACTACAAGGTCTAATGCACACATCCCTTTTTCTACATAAAAATAATAATAATAGAGATAATATCTACATTAATATCTCACCCAGATGAGGATTTTAACTAAAACTGCATTTGACCATGAGGTGCAAGCACACTTTACAGGGTGTGTGGGCAAATAAAAACCTAAATAAATACTTTTGACAACCATAGTCTTTTTTAAGATAAGTGAACCTTGAATGGTGTTTACTTATTAAGACGAACAGGTATCAGGTGTGAAGGTTAAAGGCATTTTAACAAGGACTTGGCTTGTATAGAGGACACTGTCTATACACAATTGATTGATTTTCACATGCTCACTCACACACACACACACACACACACACACACACTCCATGCGGTCACGCTGTCTACCTCCACCAGCTGGTGCCAGTGTTCAATAGGCTTGCGGGGATTCGCCAGCATGGCTGTCCAGTGCTCCCTTCCCGGTCCATCAGCATCACTGCCCATACGGCACATCCCGATCACCTCATTATGACCAATACTGAGAGACAGAGAGAGAGAGAGAGAGTGGGAGGGAGAGAGTGAATTAATGCAGTTAGGCTAAGAAATGAAGGAGAACCACAGACCAGTGCATCCATTACAACAAATGGGCGAGAGAGAATGAAAGACTGCAAAGAGACACAGGAGAACATGAGGAGCTAGAAAGCACAAAGTAACAAGATAAAAAAGGAGGCCTAATTGGCATCATATAATTAGAAAGATGCAGACAGGACCTTAGTGTCATATAGCAACCTGCCCATTAAGACACACACACACTCAGACACACTGAGAGTTTCCACACGCAGTCCTTTAATTACACAGACACAGACTGAGAGATCACATAATTACACAGACAAACAGAGAACAAAAGGAGAGAGAGACAGAGGTACATTCCAATTATTGAATTACAGTGATAAACAAAATGAGGCAAGAGCACAGGGAACGGAATCAATGATTTGAGCGAAAATTTGTCACAGAGGACAGATGGGTAGTCGTTTATGATAGGTCTACTGATTACCGAGATAAAGAAAATGAGAGAGAGAAGATTAGAACAGAGAGAGGTGTCATAATCACTTAATTACTCGAAAAGTGAGTATGAAAAGCTGCTCAAGAGAAGGTGGAATAACAAGCGGGTCCAATAAGTGGAACAGAAATAAATCTTTCCTCCTGCATTTATTGTTGATCAGAGACATGGACAGAAAATAAATGACATTCATGCATGCTGTTTACTGCCAAGCTGTAGGAGCAGAAAAAAAGTACTCCATAGTTTCTGTGTGTCATGTGACAGGCCTGGATTTGTATAAAGACATCAGGGTATAACTTTATAAAAACCTACTTTCATGAGTGTAACTTCCCTATTGCAATAGTGATGACACACTTAAAGGCAGCGCAGGTGATTTGGTTCAAAAACATTTGTTGTTATGCTGGTTGAAAGTCTCTTCCCATACCGACAGCAATCACTAAGTTAAGTGGTCTAAATATATTTATATGTATTTATATCATCTGTGGAAGACGTAGGAACATAAAATGTTCATCCAATCATATTCCTCGGCCCGAGGACTACGATTAGCTGTCTTACCAATCAAAGTATGTATTTGCATACTTCCGCACACCCTGTTCGCGCAGACATGATTCGTCATCAGCACTTTACATTACGCTACTTCAGTCTGAGCGAGAATGGAAGGCATTATTATTGTAATATTATACGCTTTGTACTGTAATAATTTCTCACCCATGAATGGGACATGCGGTAATCTGACAGCGTTGCATTCAGTCCTCCACCCATTCCGTCTCCCACTGTGTCGCTGATTAGCCTCTGGGCTGCCTGTGCGTGTTCATGTGTTTTGGAGGAGGCGTGGCATTGGAGACTGATTTGCTGGGAGGGTGGGATCTTATGCTTTCAAAGTTAGCTTGCTATTGCTAGCCTCTCCCTACCTTTAAAGGGGTCATATGATGCTATTTCAATTTTTCCTTTCTCTTTGGAGTGTTACAAGCTCTTGGTGCATAAAGCATCTGTATGCACCAAGAGCATCTGTAAAGTTGCAAAGACTAAAGTCTCAAATCCAAAGAGATATTCTTTATAAAAGTTAAGAGTCAAACACACCTACCTAAAACGGCTCGTTCTAACATGCCCCCACATGTCTACGTTACTATATGGAAATATTAGCATAATGCCGCCCAAATGTGCAAGTAATGTTGATGCAGCCATGTCAGGGAAACGCTGTGTGTGTTTTTTTTAACCTAGAAGAGTACAAGGCTGGCTGTGCTGTGTTTTCTAAAAAAAAAAAAAGGATCAATTCCGACTTTGCTATGACAATCTGGCACTTCTGAATCAGCGACTGTAAGTATGTTTTGTTATTAGTTTAAGTATTTGCTATTGACTGTTCAAATGCGGAGTTTTGCGCAGAGTAACGCGTCATGTGCGTGTGAGGGGAACAGTATCACATCACAGGAGAGTGACCTGTCTGTCAGAAATCATAGCACGTCAGCTGTCTTAACCGCGGCTTGTGTACTGCATCATCACTGTGTCTGTCACGCGACTCCGTTGCCCTTTCGGGCTTGAACTGATGGTAAAACTAACGACATTATTAACTGTCTTGATATTTACTTTGAAAGCTGAAACATTTCCGACACGTGCTTGTGGTGTTCGGCCAATCACAATGCACTGGGTCAGCTGGCCAATCAGAGCAGACTGCGCTTGTCAAAGGAGGGGCTTTGTTGAAAACGACATGTTTGAGAGAGACGGGGCATAGAGGACCTACAATAATGTACAGTATTTGAAAAATAATGTGTTTTTTGAACATTAAAGCATGGCAACATATTCTGTTACACCAAATACACAAAATAATGATCTTTAAAATAGCATCATATGACCCCTTTAATATATTTTAAAATGTCATTTATTCCAGTGATGGCTAAACTGAATTTTCAGCAGCCAATTCTACAGTCTTCAGTGTCATGTGATCCTTCAGAAATCATTCTAATACGCTGATTTGCTGCTGCAGAAACATTTCTTCTTATTACCAATGTTGAAAACAGTTATGCTACTTAATGTATTTTATGGAAACAGTGATACAATTTTTTTCAGGATTTTTTGTGATGTTTAAAAAATGTCTTTGATGTCACTGAATAAAAGTATAATTTCTTCAAAAAATGTGTACTGACCCCCAAAGTTTGAAAAGTTTGAACAGTAGTGTAGATAAATAAAACGGTCCTCTCAAATAATTTTAATGAAAACAAAGAGGCACACATAAATGAGTCAATGATTCACTTGAGCTCCCGAGTCTATTTTTTAAAATGAAATATTGGTTAAATGCTGCTGTGCACTGTTTTTACTCAGTTATATTAATCATTTAGCTTTTAGTATAAATGTATTTGGCTAATTAAATGCTGTCATCCTAATTCAGATCTTAATTTTGTGCCAAATAAATACAGCTTTGATACAATTAAACTGAATTTACCCCTGTACATAGCTTCAATGTAGTTACTTTTTGTAAGCTGTTTGAAGCATAGCTAACTATTTTTTTTAAATGGTAGCTTGACTGTAGTTTAAAGTAGCATGGGAAGCTACAGATTCAAAGTAGCTGCACCAACACTGCCACTAAATCAAGTCATGCTCAAAGTAATGAGTGCCACCAAGAGTTATGTCCTGCCTTTATTTTAATAACATTAATGCCAAAATAAAGTCAGTCAAGCTTTAGTGAATTGAGACTTTAGTCTTTGCAACTTCAGGGATCTCATCTATGCACAATCAGCTTGTAACACTCCAAAGAGAAAGGAAAACTTGAAATCGCATCATATGACCCCTTTAAAGTCGTTGTGTTGCAAAAAGCCTGAAACCATATGAATAATATCAGTTTGATGAAGTAGTCTGCAAGCCATGAACAACATTTCTTCATCTCAAACAAAAATAACTTGCCTTGCCTGCTCCTGTGTGACGTCATGCACAGTAATGCCGGTTTAAATACAGAAACACTAAAATATTGCAAAATGGATTGTTTAGCATGACAGATATATGTAAGAAATGACTATTATCCAGTCAATAACGCTTCTGAATGGAGCATTTAGCACAGATGGCATGCAGCAAAGCTAAGAGCAATTAATCAGCCGCTATCTGTGGCTCACAGATGAGCTGCTTCATTAGGAGGAGCTGCTGGTGTGTCACATGCAATTGGAAAGAGATGAAATCATGGAGAGCATAGACAAACACACATTTGGGAAACTCGGATGTGGAATTCCTCAGAATTGAAATCAGTTCTTAAAATAGAATCTGTACGATTTGTATGCACCTGATTTTGCAAGTCATATTTTGTTCCACAAAAGCACACAAAATATGGCCATAAAAGTGAGATTAGATGACATGACACACCTAGCAGTACATATAGGCCTACTTCATTTTCAAAAAGTAAAAAACATAAATGCCATTCCAAAGGTCTACCATACTGAAGTGCTGCAAGAAGAGCTCCACACATACAGAAGAGGTGACTTAAGTTGTGCCCACCAGACAAGAAACATTGGCTGTGCTACAAAGTGTCTCACCACCAGACACCGCTTCCATTAGTTTTAGGCCATCATGTATATTCATGAAGTGTCTGTCTTTATGCAAAACAGTGCATACGTCCACCAGGAATAGTCTGACACACTGGGGCATAAGGCCCTATGTTCAGTGGAGCACATACACGTTAGGGTTGAGCCGATAGACGATATTCAGAGATATCGATGATAGCAGATGTCTTTGTCGATAGTCAAGACGATATTAGGCTCATTCTCCTATTAATGTATTAAATAATAATAATAATAATAATAATAATTATTATTATTATTATTAGGCGGCCCATTAATTCGGCTATTATTATCAAATTGCCCCGCTTTTTCATTTAGCACTGTATTTCACACACACACGCGGAGCTGAATTCTGCAGGACTGCGGCTCTCTAGGACCGAACTTGCCTACCCCTGATCTAAGCTGCTCCAAAGCGTCTGCTTCGTACAGCGCGCGCTGCAGAGCCGCGGCACAGTGGCAGCAGTCAGATTTCACTGATCGCGTGAAGAGAGGCGCTTTCAGCGAGCACGATGGAGCGCAGCGGAGGATTTGGTTTACAAACTACAGTAAAAGACCGCTTCTTAAACCAGAGATGGTGAACATGTTGGTATTCTTGTGGAAAAAAACATGCAAGTCCTGTCAGCCACAGCCAGTTTAGTTTTACTTTTCTTTTTGTTTTCGTTTTGAAAAGCTTGTTAAAGATTCTGTAATTTATTATTCGGTATATACAGCATGTGATGTATCCTATGCCATGCCTCGGCTTATTCGTTTTTGTTAATAAAGGTCATGGAAGCTAGTTTGTCATTTTAGCCTACTGTTTTATTGTTGTTGTCCTTTTTAATTTGGAATAGCAATAAATCCATCTTTTGTTTGTCTTAAAAAGTGAAAGGTGTGTAGATATAAGCAAAACAGACAATTATCTTTTCTTGTAAAACATGACACCAAGATCGCGAATTTGAAAGTGAAAGTGAAAGTGAAACCGCAGGAAAAGAGGAATTCCGGTTCACAAAATTTTAATCACAAATAATACTGATGAAAAAGAACGGGTTGAATGTTGAACACTTTCATTACCATAGAACTATAAACTATGATAAAAGTTCATCGGCATGCATTGATTAATCAAATGTTGTAGCAAAAAAAAAAAATTGCGACCAAATGATGTGCCGGTGCGACCAACTGAGAAAATTAGTTGCAAAAAAGCGACCAGTGGGAAGAATGAGACTAGAGCCCTGATGTATGTGCAATATTTTAACCGAGCCCTCACTAACTGAGTTTAATGCCACAGTTATGTTAGAACGCATCTCATCCTTGTTTCTGTGGCGGTGCGTCGGGCTCATCATGGGACGCACGGTCCTGAGCACTGTATGACTGATGTATCCTAAAATATATATATATATATATGAACTAGCTGTTTTAAATATTTTTGTATTTAACATGTTAGTTTATCAGTATGTTTGAAAGTATATTATTTAGATTCGTGGTGCTTCCATAGGCTCCCTCTCTCGCGCGCGCACGGTTTAAAACACCAAATAGTTATGAAATAGCCTATGACAAGTAAAGGGAGTCTCTCTCTTGCCCCCACCCACCCATGCACGATAATATCGTGTATCGGCGATCTCACGGACTGGCGATATGGTAATTTTTCAAATCGTCATATCGCCCAACACTAATACACCTACAAATATGTACAACAGGAATTTTAATTTATCAACTAAACAACAAACTATATCATCGGTATCAGTCACAGAGATCCTTAAATGCATGAAAAGATCATACTTCACTCTTCTCAACAACGTAGTAAAATGCACTATTCTGGTCTATTCTGAAAATTTGTCATTAAATTAATTGATTCATTAATATTGATTGTAGTTTAATATTAAACCTTATACTTCGCTGCTGTTGAATGCTTGAATCTGATTGTCTGACAAATGTTTTAAGGTATGCAATTATTTTCAGGGGCTAAAGTAGTTCCAGGCAGGTCTTGACCACATTACATGTCCATATCACTTCGCCCAAATGATTTCAGTTATTTCAAAAGGTCCTTACAGCCTACAACAGCAAAAGAACCAAAACCCATCAAGCGAAATCCCATCAAGCAAATATAGTAAACAACATCATTTTAAAAATGACAAATTATTTCCATGTTTTGGCCACAAAATTGTTTTATTATGTATGGAAAGCACATACTCTGTTTCTCCTGCTCTCTCTCCCACTCAAACACGCACACACACAGTGTTCAGCACTGACACACACTTGCACACATGGAAACATACACACTGCTCTGACAATTTTATCAGTAAATAGTTTAGCAACCTAAAAGATACATGTCATTTCTCACCAATAACAGCACTGTTCTTGAAGCAGATTAACTTCAAGTTTCGCTTTTAGTAGAGACACTGCTGCCGAACACTGCTGAGAGACGCACAGACTCACACACAGGTAATTCACACATCTCTCTCTCTCTCTCTCATAACTGCATTAACAACTGCACTAGTCTGCTTTCAATGATCCATTGAATTCATAAAAAAGGTGTAACTGGATAAATTTAATGTGAATAAGATTATTAATTTCTTTACAAACTTCTTTCTGACCCCAAACTTTGGAATGGTAGCATACTGTATATTACACTGGAGAAATATTACAATAGAAAAGTATTTACACAACTGGACTCTGTAGGAAACACTGTGTAGATCTAATTTGAATCTCTCCCACAGAACTTCAGTAAATGCTTTATTCTTTCAACGAATGGAAAAGCCATGTGTTCCTGAATAAGTTCTGTGAGACACAGCCTGTAAGCATGCCTAATGTTACAAGTAGGCACTTCCTGTCAAGCTTCATATCACAGCAGGGAGCTTGATGTGTTGCAGCATGTCTCAGAGCCCATCACAGCATGAAAAAGGCAGTCATGATCTTACCAGTCATAGTCCATGACGGCGATGATGAGCGACACATTCTCAATGTTCTCGTTGGGGATATCAAAGACCAGAGCCTCATTATACGTGGGATTGAGAGTATTCTTCTTTATGGACGTCTTCCTCTTTTTCAGCCTTCGACCTTCGCAAACCAGAGATGCCTTTACATATGGATCTGAGAAAGCAAGAACAGAAAGAGTGAAGGAGAGAGAAAATTTGTCAAAGAAATAGCAATGGCAGGACGTAATGCATCGACAACATAAAAAATTAATGCGAGTAACGGCATCAATAATTACTGTGCTAACAATGATACATTAACATTGCTTTTTTCATAATGCACCGGGATAGTGCAACATAATCATGTCCTATAAGAGGAATCTTTATTGCATTACTTGCTGTGATAATTAAATAAGCCAACACTAATTAAAGATGTCGCTTGTTCTTAAGACTGTGATGTTGATACCTTTATAAGGCGTTTCAGTTTTAACATTCAACTTTTTAGAGGTGCTATTTGATATTCAGAACTTTCAGAACTGATGGTTTTGTGACCTTTAATGTTATTTCACTATTCACATGCTGGATGTGTTACACCAAGGTTATTAATAAGCAGCAGTTTCATCACGTCTCACTGTCAACAATGTCTGAGGTGCTAATGAGGTATCGCTGTTAATTATGAGGGAATTAGAGGAATGGCTGGGGACCACGAGCGGGACCAGGTACCTGAGAAGCCCGTGAGGTCCATGGCTTTCAGATTGGTGGCCTTAATGATGGTGATGGTCAGTCGGCCAGCTGTTGGCAGGTAACACAGTGAGAAGTTCAGCTCGCCCAGGTCAGCTTTCTCCTGCAGACACAAAAAACATATTGAAAGGTCCAAAGTTCATTTTGAAGTTAGATTGTGAGTAATGCAAATGCTGAAAGTAATGCACAAAAATAAGGAAATTCATGGGGAAAAAAATGATTACACCGTCTTTCTTGAAATGTTTCAAAAATGTATTTGTCCTTTTATTAAGATGCAAGGATAAACTGAAGGAATGCCTGTGGCTTTTAATGCTTAATCAAAAATTTTTAAAGGATTTCTCTGTGCAATTCAAACGCAGCTCTGGCCTGCTGTGATTACCACAGAATTAATTTTATCTCGTCCTTGAATTTTTACAAACAAGAAGAAAATCATGTTTACAGTAATGCACTTGCAATGAAAGTCCACTTTAATAAACATTAAAAAACACTTTTTTGGAGTACAACCACAGGTTATGACCATGTAAATCCGATAAACGCTATAACTTAGAAAGCAAGACTACTGCAAAGAGACTGTTCTGAAGAATATGTGTTGAGATGCTATGCCTGTTTTTTCTCTTACACTCTTGGTTGAACCTTTCATCTTTCTCTCAAGTTCTTGTTCTGCCAGACAGAATTAATCATCAGCTATGACGAAAAAAGAACAAGGGTAGGAGAGGTAAACCAAAAGAGCTACAATATTTCATCAAAAACGTCAAGCGTCTGAGGTACATCTCCAAGAACTATAGGAGCTGCCAGCTTTGGGTATGGGTCCGTAAACGTGATGTGAAAGCTGCATTATGTGAGTGTTGTTTTTTTTGTTACACTCCAGCACTTTGAAAAATGTATTATACACCAAGTCATTTTTTCCCCTGAACCAGCTGAGAAGGTAAATCCGCTAATGCCACCTGAGCGGCCGATTGGCTGAATCCAACATTTCATTTACATTCATTCACATGTCAGACACACAAATGTCAGAAACATACTCAAATCCAGCATGCATTACTGAATATTTTTTACATTGTGCCAAATGTATCTTCTTTCCTTCATTTGACCTAGTCGTGCTGTGGAAAATTTAATCTACCTTATTTAAGCACACAGCAGCTTGTGTTTGATTTGATTTATTCTCTCTGTTCTCCAAAGGTGCAAACACATTTTAAAAGAACAATATTCTATGATCATGATAAAAATGTTTCTAAAAACTGCTCCATTAAGATGCATTGGCAATTTCTGAAGTGCTCTTGAAAAAAGCTCCTTTGCATAGTTGACCTTCACTAATTTCATGTAATTTTCTCTGGAAGGACGAGCACATGCATCACTAGATCACCTCACACCTCTGCTACCAACATCCCCAAGGACACATCATCATCATCGCCTTAGCATGTAATCACGCATGATTTTCAATTGTGAAAAACGTCTCATGAATATAAAATTAGGTTTTCAATTCCACTTCATAGAGATACGCAAGTACCATAAAAGATACCATAAAATCTGTCCTGGCTAAGGTTCTCATTAAATCCAGCACAATTTCTTGGGTGAAATTCACTAAACCGTGTTTGAGTGCAAAACCTTGCGTCTTAAACCACATACCACTCCAAAAACAGTTTAACAGGCACTATAGGCACAAACATAGCGTTGAATTTAATTTTAAAAGACATTTTTTAGACCTACCTGATTTAATCCATAAACAATTGTTTTGTTTGTATAAGTGAATGTTTTCAGGCAATATTAAATAATATTTTTGACAAATAAAAAAAAATAATTAATATTTTTTCAGTGTTGACTCTGTGCTTTATTCACAAAACTCAATGCTATTTGTCTTGAGTAATTATCAGTGCATATGTACTGCCCAGGGAAAGCAGTTTTGCTCAAAAGAGACATTTGTGCATATTTTTATTGATGGCAGTAGTAATTTATCAAATGATGATCAAGTAAAGGAGTATAGCGTTATATCTTGGCACATATCCAGAAGTTTGGTGCAGTCAAGCGCACTTCCAGCATTTCCTATTGAGGTGTTGGCGTGATGCCGATGTGTTCAGTGCGAGTGCTTTGACATATTGAGCAGTGGTGCTCATAGCAGACCCGGGTTTAAGTCTGGCCCGGTGATGTTGCCATCCTGTTCCCCTCTCTCATCTCTACTACTGTGTATGGCAAGAAATGTAGCAAAAAAACTCATCACTGTTCAGCATGGCTATTCAGCTGAGGTCCTTGATGGCCACTTTCCCGCAGGGTTTAGATTTAACCACAGTCTAAAGCATGTCAACAAGCTAATCAACTGATCACCCAAAATGAAAATTCTGTCATCATTTATTCACCCAACCTGTATGATTTTCTTTCTTCTGTGGAACACAAACGAATTTTGTCCACATAATGGAAGTCAATGGTCACCAAAACAGACCATCATTCTTAAAAATATTTTCTTTTTTGTAGTGCCAAAGAAAGTCGGTCAAACCGGTTTAGAACGATTTTTGGGTGAAGGATTTCTTGAAAATGACACGCAGGTGTGTTTGATTAGTGTTGTAACTCAACTCCCCGGGACAGCGGCCCTCCAGGACTGAAGCTGAATAGCCCCGCTGTACGGTCTCAGCATAGTACGTCAGATCCTGACAGTCGAACATCTGTTGTAGTGTAGCGGTCAGCATCCTTCATAATCTAGCACCCAGAACCGGTGTTTGTGGTGTTACCTAATTTGCATAAATCTTTCAGCAAATCACATGCTAAAACTCAGACAGCATGTGCAAATACACAACGCCATCAACTACTCACTCTCACCGACTCTAATGAACCTTTAATATGTGTTTGTGTCATTATCTCACCGCGGTTCCTTCTACGATGTCTCTCCAAACTGGCTTCTCCCCGGTGCCTTCACTGAAGTCCAGCAGGTTATCCACCACCACTTGACCTATGAGGTCATGTCTGGAGAAACGATCAAAGTCGTAGATGGAGAAGTGGAGCTTGCGCGAGTGCAGCTCCGCCAGAGGCACGCCGAACTGGAACGTCTCATTAAAAACCGGGTTGAGAGTTTTTCTGTGCACCTGCGAACCAGAGCCACGGAAAGACCAAGTGGAAATGAGAGAAAGTGAAGGAAATTAGATAAGCGGAGGAGCTGAGAGGGAAAAGTGAGCAAAGGGAGTGAACAAGAGATTGGTTAACATTAAAACTGCAAAAGCATAAAGTTAATTCAAAATGCACCGCCTGATATAGATGTATTTTTAGATGAACTAGGGCACTGGGAAAAAAAAAATCACACAGGCAGGCTGAGAAACGCAACCAGATCTTAATGAGTCCTAAGAGGGTCTGCCATCTGAACAGTGGATTATTGTAAAAGCAGGGAGCTGACTGCTGCCTCGCTAGGATAAAAAAAGATACCTTGGTCTGAAATTTCTTCTTCCTATCAGGCAGTAAGTAGATCTTGACATAAGGATCGGAGAAACCATTGGCATCCTTCGCCGGGAGGTCCAGGGCTTTCAGTATCTTAACCACCAGCTGCTCCGTGCTGTAAGAAAGACATGTCAACGACATGTTCGACCATAATTCACTTTGAACTATCTGGAAATTCCTGCGCTCGCTAGCCTGGGCGTAAGTTCATTTCAGCGTCATCTAACCAGCAATGACAAGAGCATTGGTTTATGTTGAAATAGGCTGACATCCAGGCCAGTATCAAGACAGCACTGCAGCACTGAGTTCAGTGAGGCTCAATGGCTGTCAGGTTCAGGAAAATAGGGGGAAAAAGAGGAGGTGCCAATTGTACAACCCAGCTCAATGGCTTGGAATTGACAGATGGGCAGAGCCGTACTTGAGCTGCGCAAGCTAAATGGATCTTGTACGAACGTGAATATATGAGATAATACATCCCTAATGTGAATATAAAGACATGAATATTTGATGCGTAATGCAATGACTGTGGCTTCCAACACTGGACTTTATAAATAATCCAGAGCTTATTACGAGGCAAACCATAGGTCATTTCATGGCTAGACTGTAGCAGGGTTGTTGCGGTCTGGTGCCAAGCACAGCACGACCGTGAACTTCTGAAGCACGAGGCTCACCCAGTGTTTGTGCAGATGTAAATAAGAGAGGCGGGGGAAGTTCTGTGGTTGCTAATCAGGCCTTGTTAGAATGTGTCTCTCAGTGTTAACAAAATGCGTCACCCTTTCATTAGGACACGTAAACAAATCAGCAACACTGGGGGAGGGAGAACACAAGCAAAAATCCAATACGGCCTTAGATTGACATGTCGATCATAAAGAATGTGCAGTGACATGGTACAAATCTCAACCAATCAGCATGGAAGCAAATAAGTTAATCATGTGATATTATCATCCAATCTGTAAGTGACAAATTTAATAATTCATTATTGTACAATCATGTAAAGACAAGGATTAAAGAGGTATTTACACTGACAGCAATTTTAAGAGATTCATTTTCAAGGACAGTTGGCGATTTCTAGCAATACGTGCGACAGCAACCCTTGTGCAAATAAACAGTATGTGCAACATAATTGGTTTCTAGTTTCATATATATCACAGAATATATATGCAAGCATTTGTACACCTATGCTGTTGCGTTTGCAAAACATTTTCGGCGCATCACAGAAAATATTTCCACAAAAATATTAAGCAATGTTTTTAACTTCAATAATAATATGAAATGTTTCTTGAGCAGCAAATCAGCATATTATAATTATTTATGAAGGATTAGCAGACACTGAAGACTGGAGTAATGGCTGCTGAAAATTCAGCTTTGTCATCACATGAACAAATTAAATTTTAAAATGTATCAAATGACTGGCAGGAGAGTTATGGGAATATGGTCGGAAGAGTTGTGTAGATGAAAATAACATTTTAAACATGATTCATATGCAATGATCAGTGCTGAAATCACCAATGCAAGTGCAAACAGTGATTCACCCCCTGAAATTGTTGGATAGCGGTCGAGTCGGACTGCCTACTAGCAACCAACAGAGAGACTCTAAAATATCCTGCGATGTAATCGCTGTGTGGCCCAAAAAACATAATTGCTAAAGTAAAATTACATCAGATTGCAAAATAAAATACTTGTAGACATTTCAAGTTTGAAAAAACAGTCCCAGATGCATTTTGAGCTGTCCAGTCTAATATACATTATATCAGTTTGGCGGAATTAAAATGAATATCACGGCAAGTGGCATGCAGCACAACAGCACACTTTAAATCAGGCTGGTCTTTAGAAATGTACGGTGCCATTAGCATTCAGGGCTATGAAAATATAATTGAAAATGACAGGCTCTGTCTTGCCCACATTAGAGTGAGCATTTAAAGCCACCCCATAGCCCCCACCCCAGTCATGTGTTGCACCGCCCCCCCCCCCCCCCCCTTTTACAATATCACTGCAAAACAAAAACCTCAAACAAAAGTCATGCACATGCTGTCTGAAAGCGCTCATCCGGAAAACGCAATGATCTCAGTTGGAATCTGACAAATAGACGTATAAATTAAAATAAATAATAAAACAACATTCAGCTCCAACCCTCATAGACAATGGGTTAGAAATAGCTGCTTTTCCCTCCGTGCCGCATGTGTTATCGGCCTACTGCTGTGCTGATAGAAAGCTACGTCCCACCGGATGTGACTCTGACTGACAGTGTCAACCTGCCCGCTATTCCCAAAATGCTTGTACATATTCGTGACATATTCGCATTGATGTTTTGCAAACGCAACAGCATAGCAGGAGGTGTGATGATGTCAATTAAACACACGGGGATGAGAAACAATCTTGGCCACTAGTGCTCATGTAAACGCGGTGCAACAATTCCGGTTGCATTTGCTTTAAAGGGGTCATATGATGCAATTTCAAGTTTTCCTTTCTCTTTGGAGTGTTACAAGCTGTTTATGAATAGATAAGATCCCTAAAGTTGCAAAGACTAAAGTCTCAAACCCAAAGAGATATTCTTTATAAAAGTTAAGACTCGTCCACGCCCTCCTAAAATGCCTCGTTTAAACACGCCCCCACATGTCTACGTCACGATGTGGGAAGATTTGCATAACACTGCCCAAATGTTCACGCAAAGAAAGAAGGCGTAACTTTGATTCTCGCTGTAGGAGACGCTATTTGTTTCGTTGTGAAAGCAAAAATACTTTGTTTGGTCTTCCAAAAGAGGACACAACTAGAAATCAGTGGTTAAGTTGCATTTACAACACTGTTTCAGAACGGTTTAACCCAAATATTCAGATGTGTGCAACGCATTTTACGGAGGATGCGGACTGTTTCCTGGGAAAGTAGCCTGCAATGCCGGTGTTCCAGTGAATTCAGTTGCCCTGTTTCCCCTTCGGCGCACATGCTGACCCTATACAGTCTATCATGCTGACAGATAATGCTGACTTACAGCCTGTAAGTACATTTTCATATTTAAAGGATTTGCCACTGATGATTCAAACGCGAGTTTTGAGCAGTGTAGAGTAGCGCTTGTTGTTTGACGTTTCTCCGATCACAAATGCAGACATGATTTTATGTTTACGAGTCACGATGCAACGCAACGCGTAAAAAGACAGTATAAGTCATTATAATCCGTAATTATGTCCCCACTGGATGCAACAAATTCCTCGTTTATAATGGGTTTTATTGGTTTTGTCTGGTCGCTCCGGGACACGCCATCATAGTATGGTAGTGGCGTAACATTTCCGTCACACGCTTGAGGTATTCGGCCAATCACAATTCACTGGATAGCTGGCCAATCAGAGCACACCTCGCTTTTCAGACCGATGAGCTTTGTAAAAATCGACGCGTTTCAGAAAGGCGGGGCATAGAGGAGAAACAATAATGTACAGTATGTGGAAAATAATGTGTTTTTTGAACCTTAAACCACATAAACCCATTTCATTACACCAAATACACAAAAATGACAAACAACAAGCCCTACCCTACACTGCCCAAAAAACTCGCTTTAAATATATAAAATATAAAAATTCTTTAAATATAAAAAATGTACTTACAGTCTGTGAGTCAGAACAGCCGGCATTGTAGTCTACTCTCCCAGGATCAGGAAACAGTTCTCTATAAAATGTGCTGCACACATCTGAATATTTGGGTTGAAGTGTTCTGGAACAGTGTTGTCAATACAACTTAACCACTGATTTCTAGTCGGGTCCATTTTTGGAAGGCCAAACAAAGTAGTTTCGCTTTCACAACGAACCAGCGTCACACGGCAGCCTACAGTGACCAGAGGCCGGGGGCTAGCGGGAGGAACAGCGGGAGGGTTAGAATGAGCAGAGGCGGGTGGGTTTGAGAACGGCGCGGCCAGCGATTTCGACAAAGTAGTGTCCAGAAGGACATGTGACAAAGAGCTTGTAACACTCCAACGAGAAAGGAAAAATTTAAATCGCATCATATGACCCCTTTGAGTGCAATGAGCAGCCAAAATGAACTTGATTCTGTACTCAGATGCTGTGTGACTGGGGACTTCAAATCACAAACGTTTGTGACTGCAACACTAAGTGTAACCGATAATCCAAAATCTAATCCAAAACTGGCTGACAAAGTTCTACCAGTTTACCGTGTCTACCATTATATTTCTCATCCCCAGCTCACCATGAATGTTTAAAACCCTCTCTCTTCCGAACACAAAAGATGTTAAGCAGAATGTCTAAGTTGCTCTTTTCCATACAATGCAAGTGAAGGGTGGCCACGGCTGTTCATTATATGTACAGTAAAACAGTAGCCCAGACATTCTGCTAAACATCTCCTTATTTATTCCACAGAAGAAAGAATGAAAAGGTTTAAACAACAAAAGGCAACAGCAAAACTTTTATTTTTAGGTGAACTATCCTTTTAATTCAAAAGCTTTCCATCTCATGCGCAAACGCAATCGTGACATACTCACCTTAGAACTCACAGTAGAACATAATAGACCGATAATACAATGAACAGGAACAGAGGTGTCAAATCATTTATTTGAACTACTCCCTATGTGTAAGGAATGAGATATCAATCTCCACTCACCCATCTTCATCTCTTTCTCTCCCTCGGCCTACTCTGTAATTCTGGCCGTAACACAGCGCTGTGCTATTATGTGTTGACAGGCTGTGCTGTTTAAAGTGGCTGGTCATATATAATTCATGAGTGAAACAGCCTCTCCCTCCTTCATTTCTCAAACATCAGCACTTTCCACCATTCTAATGTCCCTCTGTGTGATGGCAAAATAAAGGACCCGGTCTGACGTGCACGGGCTTGCCCACAGCAGGCCTGACTATAACTCATTGTGCTGACTGCAACTCCCCTGCTTCTTTCTCCAGCTCGCCTTTTCAATTGTGAGCCCTGCCGATGCGATCTATTTATAACCCACTGATGTATTGAGAGGCATGGATCCACATTGTGTGACAATTCCAAACTAGATGCTTCCCCGTGGGGAGAGGAGGGAATGGTGGAATGGTTTCGAGTGGACTCACTTGAAGGCGTAGCGCAGGAGGAAGCTGATTTTGCCGCAGGTGTCGCCTTGTTTGCCATCCCCCTGGTCTCCCTGGCGCAGCCGGTAAAGTTCTGGTTTGATCTGCCCAATGCTGGTCAGCTGCTCACTCTTCTCCTCACCATGGAAATCAGGGCTGGAAAGCTGGTGAGTCATGGGCTTAGGCCTGGAGAGAGACCAGAGGGTGAACACATTCACACATGCGCATGTATAGACAAACAGAGTGACTGTTAGGGGGAAACTAAACATCTTCAGATGATATTTCACCCCAAAATAAAAAAAGGCCTATTTGAACCTTTTGGATTTTTTGCATTGAATTTTCTTTTTTTTTAAATTCTGATTACTACTTCAAATGAGGGGAAAATGTGGGAAAATGTGAACGCAAAATTTATATATATATATATATCATTTTAAGTATGTTACAAAAAAATACTGTATTGAGAATAATGAGAACCTAATGAAAGACAAATTCCACAAAACTCAGAAGTAAAATACCCAGATGTCTTTAATTGTCATGACAAAATAAAGCCTGTTCTATTTAATTTTTTTATGCAATATATAATATTTGTAATAATACAATTTATTTATATAATATATTTCTTTTTTTTTTTAATGTGGGATTATTTATGACCATTTTTTCATGAAATTCACCCAGTAAGGTCGCTCTTTTTAAGAAACGAATTAAGAAATATTTTAGTCTGTTCTATTAAGAAAATTAAAAAAAATGGTCCAAATATACAAAAATGTGTTGATATACTGCATTCCAGTTTCGGGTAAGATGTTTTTTTTTAATGAACCTATACTTTTATTCAGCAAGGATGCATTAATGTGACAAAAAGTGACAGTAAAGGCATTTATAATATTACAAAGACTTCTATTTCAAATAAATGCTTAATGCATCACTGCTGATTCCACAAACACATGAAGCAGCACAATTGTTTTCAATGTTGCTAATAATAAGAAATGTTTTCTGAGCATCAAGTCAGCGTATTAGATTGATTTCTGAAGGATCACGTAACACTGAAGACTGGAATAATGGCTGCTGAAAATTCAGCTTTGCCATTACAGTAATAAACTACATTTGAAGATTTGAAGACATTTAGAATATATAGAAAACAGTTATTTTAACCTGTAATAGTATTTCACAATATTAGACAACAGGAAAAAACCTTTCAAAACAGTAGGGTATGTAAGACATTTTGAAAAGAAAAAAACACTATATTTTACTTCAATATAACGTTCTGCAAGACACAAACCACACACTCACTCCATCATCCTGTAACACACACATAGAAACCACAGACATGAACAAGGAACAAGAGAAGGTCACTGACCTGGTGGTGACCTGCTGCTGGGATTGGGCATTGGGCAGGTCTTTCACAGCTGAGCCTCCTTCTGTTGCCGGGGGCAACTCGGGAGATGTCTGGCTCAACTTAAGGTTTGCTGAAAAAGTGAGAAACCATTAGCCATAGAAAAGATGAAAGGAGTAGTTAAGAGAATGGAGAATAATTAACAACAATCATTGTCTCTTAGGTCTCACAAAGAGTAAAGTAGTGCTTCTGAGTTTGATACACAGCAGACTTTTGCTCACCAGCATTGTTGGGATAAGAGTCCATGTCTAGGTAAGAATGCTCCTGCATCTCCTGTGGACCCCCAACCACACCCCCCACTACCAGCCCCCCTCCGCTCTCCACCCCCGTTAGGTCGGAGAAATGGGGATGAGGCTGACCATGCTGCGAGAGCGAGGGATACAGCGAGGAAGAGGATTGAGTATCTTTCCTCTGCAACAAGGGAGGAAGGAGAGAGGCACCCCCTCCACCTCCAACCCCACCCAAACCAGCACCGCCGGGCAGGAGCCCCGACATCAAGCTCAGACCCCCGCCTTCCTTATCTCTCCACGGCAACCAGCAAAGCTTCCATGAGACGAAGAGAGAGACAGACAGCAGCACGATGCCACAGAACGTTACAATGACGGAGAGCAGACTCACTGAGATCTCTGAAACAGAGCGTGAGAGGGAGAGGGGGAGAGAGAGAGAGAGAGAGAGGAGAGTGTGGTTTATTACCTTGTAACTTTGAGAACCCCCTCCACCTCCAACCCCACCCAAACCAGCACCGCCGGGCAGGAGCCCCGACATCAAGCTCAGACCCCCGCCTTCCTTATCTCTCCACGGCAACCAGCAAAGCTTCCATGAGACGAAGAGAGAGACAGACAGCAGCACGATGCCACAGAACGTTACAATGACGGAGAGCAGACTCACTGAGATCTCTGAAACAGAGCGTGAGAGGGAGAGGGGGAGAGAGAGAGAGAGAGAGAGGAGAGTTTGGTTTATTACCTTGTAACCTTGAGAAGTAACAAAAATCACAAGGAATTTAATGCTTCTAGTTCCTTTATAATTACACTCATAATTATTTTAGGACTTGAATAATTGGTCATATCTATATACAAAACACATACAGTATACTTTATATTTAAAAAAGGAAAGAAATATAACGATTCTATTTCAAATTTCAATGAAAGCTTCCGGTTCCTAATAATTACACCAATGATTCTATTAAGACTCAAATAACTGGTCCTAACTATATAGTAAACACAAATACTCAATAAAAAAGTTCAACATTTTATGATTCTGGGTTAAATTCCACTGAACGCTTCTGGTTACTTAATAATTATTCTAATGTTTCTTGTAGGACTTGAATAATTGGTCCTAATTATTTACTAAATTATATATATATACATACATAAAACCAAAACTCATCTACTAAATTCAATAGCCTAATTAAAAAATATTTTTATTTAATATTTATATTTTGTTAAAGTTCCATTCAGAACAGTTCAGAATATCTATATTTAAACATTAGTTTATTTTAAACAACAATTAACAATTTTACAAATCGTTTTTGTTTACAATTCATACAAAAACACATGCACAAAACTACTCCAATAAGTAAAAAAAATCCTTCAGAGCAATTTATAAAAAAATATTTATTTATATTTAATTCATTTTAATATTTCAAAATTTCGGCTTGTTATAAGAAAACAGTCATATATTTCATTGATTTAAGTATCACAAGCCTTAAGTACACACAGCAGGCGTTCTCGGTTCATTTCGAGTTGTGGTTCAGTGATCGATTCAGTCAGTGAGTGAGTCATTAGACTGATTCAAACTGACAACTCACTGTCTTTTTGACCAGTTCATTACAAAGAACAGATTTTGTGACTAAATCCTATCCCGCTGTCAAAATCCTAACCTACTGGGTCCCCAAAGCAATAATAGAACTTCTTTTGGGGTACTTTATTTGGGGTGCCTGATTACAAATACGGCCATATTTGTTCATATATGCTGCCTTAAAGGCACAATATGTAAGATTTTATTAAAATTCACTAGAACAGTGTTATATATTTTGCTGACTTGTGTACTTACATTATCCCAAATGTTTCGAAGAATGTTTAAATCCAGAGAAATAAGCAATTTTAACTAGTGACACGGAGCGTGTCCATAGTGTCATTGTGTCACCTGCAAATGACGTCATAACCCCTCGATTTCCGGTTTTGTTTTGTAGAAAACATGGAAACACCAAAGACGCTTTAATAGACCGGTGACGACAGCACAGAGTAGCATTATAACAGAACTTTTAAATGTATCTAGTATGATAAAACAATGCTGCTTTTTTTCCCACATTCTCACGACCGGAAGGAGCGGGATCGGTCGACTGTGGCATAATAAAAGCTCCGCTGCTTTCGAGCCGTGTGTAACGCTCGTTCAGCAGCCTCGTTTCACTTCGACGGCTTTCAGCCTCACCCTGCTTCATTCTACTACGTTAATAAATAATTAGCTCATCCATGAACATGAGCCCCGTCAGATTGCACGGCATCATCTAACTACGCCTTTGCCTCTTTGTTTATTTTGAAGATGTGCCCTCTAGCGGCGAAAATTACATATTGTGCCTTTAACTATCATTTCTCTTTTATTTTTGACTTCTATTGTCTATTTATTATCTGTGTATAATTTTGCCATCTTTCTCTCTCATCACATTCAATTCACATTGCAAACTCACAACATTATTTATTTTTTCATAGCACTGTAGATTCAGAAGCGGTTCAGAAATAAATCATCGGTAGATGAATGCAGACATTAAAGAACAATAAATGGAAACGAACATCATGGAAATCAATCGGTTACAGTATTGTTTTAAAAATGCAACTAGGTTCTCAGTTCCCAACTCCCAACAAGCTTGATTGCATAACCTGGGAGGATGAACACTGAGATGTTTGAAAAGAAAAATGTGCAAATGAGGTAGCGTTGGCAGACAGATGCTGTGCTTGGGGAATGACTGGGAGAAGCCGAAGGAAGTGCAGAGAGAGAGAGAGAGGATCAGAAGGAGAAAAAGAAAAGGAGATGGCGCATTGTGCCTGTAAATTACCACCGGCTCTCCCAACATTCACTAGCTCTTATCTGAATACAAAGCCAAGAAAACGATGGATTTATTTCCAAGCAGAAAAAGTGTCAATGCCAATGCCAATTTCCACAAAGATGTCCTCTAAACTGTGATTAAGCCTTATGACTCTGTCTCTCACAGAGTATGAGCTTTCAATCATGCAGCCTTTAATAACAATTTCTAAGCGTGTGCATGAGTGAGTTACTTGAAAAAATTAGACTTTGGCAACTCGGTTTCAGCACCAAACAGCGACTCTCCAACAAGCAAGGACAAACAAGTGCCTGCCAATCAAGAAAAACAAAGGGCCTGTCTGTCAGCCTGACTCTCGAGAGCTCTATTCAGATCTCACACCCACATAGATCCTCCGCTTACACTGCACTCACATCACTTCCTCAAATGCGACACCCACCAGCTCTAAAAGCCCCCAGGGTGGTTCTACCTTAAGCTACTCTGTAATTTATATTATGCAAGGAGGTTATATTGTATGACTATCAGCTCGCCCTTCATTTTCCTTTCTGTCATGCCGTCTTTCTCAGTTTTTGTTCCACCATATTTGCTTCTGCTCCCAACTACTGTTTTCCTCCATGCATTGCTCACACATTTGCAGGTCTCCAAAGAATCAGTCAGGGTTGGGCAAAATTCAGAACTGGATCCCTTTAAATTTATAATTTGGAATTTTAATTGAATTGGCTACGTCTTACAGTTGTAAAGGAATTTAAACTTGAATAACAGGAAGAAAAATTCTTTGGACTGCAGACAGTCATAAAACAGTGATTTCAGTAATCCAACATAAAATAGGAAAGAAGAAAAACGTCAAAGTCTGAATCATGTGGTTTGGCTCCTTTTTAGAAGCTTTTGGTAAAATTTGAATATTGTGAGAAATTGTGTTCTTCCACCATGCTTCATTACATGGGAGCAGTATATAATACATTAATTTAGTAATACATATATAACATGTTAAAGAAATTAGGTTATATTCAAACTGTAAAACAATTTTTATGTACAAATCTCTCTCTCTCTCTCTCTATTTACATGATTTAAAGGTAAATATATAATTGTGGATTTATATATAGATATATATTAGATATATATATTACAACTATGTTTTACTGAATGTATATAATATATAAATCTACCTCTTTAAATTCATCTTTGGTTTTCATCCTGAGCGTTTCAATAAATATACATATGTTAGTGTGTGAGAAATTGTGTTCTTCCACCATGCTTCATTACATGGGAGCAGTATATAATACAGTAATACAGTAATACATATATAACATGTTAAAGAAATTAGGTTATATTCAAACTGTAAAACAATTTTTATGTACAAATCTCTCTCTCTCTATTTACATGATTTAAAGGTAAATATATAATTGTGGATTTATATATAGATATATATATATATATATATATATATATATATATTACAACTATGTTTTACTGAATGTATATAATATATAAATCTACCTCTTTAAATTCATCTTTGGTTTTCATCCTGAGCGTTTCAATAAATATACATATGTTAGTGTGGTAAAATGTATAAAGATTGTATAAAGGTTCAAATCCAAATCTAAATTAACAGCTGTCTTTTACCATTTTAAAACCCATGTTTTAGACAGAAACGTAAGGTTAAAAATAGTATTTTTTTTCCTGTTTCACTTTGTTACTGTATGCTTGACAGCATTAATACCCTTCAGCAATAGTGCACATATGGGCCATACTATAAGCAAACAATTATGAAATTTTGATCTCATTTCTGAAACCTTCGCATGACTGCATATAGACATCTCTTTTGAAACATTACAGGAAAGGCATCATGCTTTCCATCCTCATCTAGCACCATCTTCATCATTTGTCTCCTTTGCCCTCCTCCTCCTTCCACCCCTCTCATCCTCCCTCTTGCTGCTTTCCGTCTTCCTTTCGCTGTACTTTCTGTCTCTTTTCGGTGAATAATTCATCAGTCTCTGTATGTCAGTAATCACTACTTGTTCAAAGATATGATCAGAGAGAGAGACAAAGGGACTGATCTGTCAGCTTGAAGAACAAGACGCAGATAGAGAGAGTGAAAAAAGGTAAATAGGAGGAGAAAACGGAAGAGAGTGGGACAGGAGATCAGAGATATGAATGGAGGAAAGAGGGAAATGGAGAGAGAAAGCAGTGAAAATCGTAAAAGGAAACAGAGATAGGCGATGGCAATAAAACACTGGTTCTCAATCGGTGACCTGCAGGTGACTTGAGTTGGTAAACGATTAAAATAGAACTAAATAAGCACATTTATAAATCTTGATAAATAATAATAGATTTCATAATAAATTCTAAATGTAGTCATTTAAAACATTCAAAATATAAAAGACAAAATGCACCAACATTAATTACCTAATAATAAACTATTATTAAAACAGCCTCATGTTTTAAAACAGCCTCAGGTTTCAAGGCTATAAACTGAGAATAATTTATATACTACTTAAAAATGTAGGCAGCTGTTTTTTCTCCCCAGACCTAGAGTGTTAGGTGGGCCACAATTTTTGGTTTAATGTGGTCCACCAGCTGAAAACATTTCAGAAGCACGGTCATAAAGGATGGAGAAAGTCCTAACTATGTTTTATGCCATTTCTAGCTGGTGATTAATCGGTCACTAGCTGATGAAAGCTGGTCATCAGCTGGTTGACTAGCGACCATGATCCAAGAATCAACATGACCACTTTGAAACTGGAAACTGGAAATGAGAGCTTGGACCAGCAAATGACTGGTTTAGACCAGTTAGAAGCCATATGTTCACTGCTTTTTCCATCCTTTATCAAAGTGGTTCTCAAACTCTGAAACTTCAGT